GAGAATCTTCAATATAACAAAGTTTTCCTGAAAAGTCCCCTTTAATAAATAATGTTTTTTGCTGTTCCTTGAAGTATATTTTCCATATGGTTTTTGTTTTGGTTTGTTGTCGTTTTGGAAATTTACCTCTTTTAATACTGGGAATTAACCAAAAAACCTTTTCCAGTGTATGTACAATTAACCCACCACTCTGCTGCACCCCCTGTGCTCATTCCCAGGGCACCCACAGAGTTGGGGTGTCAATTAGAGCCTTAAAATTAATGTATAATTTTGATAATGTTTTTAATTCATTTGGCTTTTTAGTTTTCTTTTTTTCCTGTATCTGAAAGAAGGAGTGGAAATATAACATTTCTTAGCATGTAGAGTTAGGACAGGTCTCCCTGTCCTTCTCTCTCTGTTTCACTGTCCCATTCACAGGAAAATAAAGCAGAAAAGCAAAGCCAAGGCTGGTAGTGAATCCTAGGAAGGAGCCTGCTGCCCTCTGATGGCTCCCGAGGCAAACAGCCTCAGGAAAATGGGAATAAACACCTGAGAGGATCCCGCTTATTTTCCTAGAAAAATTCTCCTTTAGGCACAGAAGCAGAACCCAGATGTTCACCTGAACAGGAAGGGATAACTCAATGTCCTGAATTATTGCAGCAAATGCTGTTTTGTGGGGTTTTATTTCCTAAATTTCTCATTCTTCCAAGAGGTTTTGATGTGGTTTGGCACCTGCTTCTCCAGTAGAAGCCCATTAATGTCTGGAATTCATGGCCCTGAGAGAACTGGGTGATTGAGGATTGTCTGTGTGTCCAAGGCAGGGTTAGATGGGATTTGGAGCAACCTGGTCAGTGATGATGAGATTAAAAGGTCACTTCTCAGGTAAGTGGCTTCCATGGCTCTGGAAGCACCTTTTCCAAGTTAAATTGCAAAATAGAAGAGCTCTGGAATTATCCATCTCCCGAGGAGAGAGCAGGTGGACCATCCAGGACAGGGCTGGCCCTGCCAGGCAAATATGTGGGATGAACAACAGGAAGCAAAGTCCAGGTATCTGTTGGCTGAATTAAAAGCTCAGGAGAAGGGATTGTTCATCCCCCCATCAGAGGAAATAAAAAAGAGGAAAACACAAAAAAGAAAGGATGCAACCTAATCCAACCTTGCGTTGGGTTTTAGGATATCAAAAAAGAATTGGGCTGGCTCTTGCCAACCAGGCAGCCTTTGGAATGAATGGAGCTGTGTTCAGTGCACTTATCCTCCTAATGAGGACACATTCTGGCAGTTTTCCCTCAGGTGAAAAGGGAAAAGCTTGCACTGTCGGCCTGATGCACTCCTGAAAGAAAAATCAAGCTCTCATCTTATCTAAACCCGGGGTAATTTTACACATTCATCACTTGCCAGTAGCTGAGTGTTGCTTTTCAGCAGGAGCTGTGTCTGAGCAGGTCAAGGGAAGGATCCTGGCTGAAAGATGAATCCCTGCTCCAACATCAGATTCCAGCTCCCAGCTCAGTGGGGCCAAGGCAGGGTGTGACCAACGTGCTCCTTGCCTTGTGCCCCAGGTCTGAAGGTGGCTCAGAAATGCCAAAAACTGAGCTTGAGTGGGGAGGAACAAGAGGTGGATTATCCAGCAAGGCAAACAGTGGCTCCCATCTGCTCCCCTTTCTTCCTTCTTTTTCTCCCCAAAGGAAAAATTCAAGGCAGTCCCTTCCTCCCAATCTGTGCTGACATATCCACAGTGGTTATTCTGATTAAATAAGTGACTTATTTTTCTCTGGCTAAATAAATCCCTTGAATGCATCTACGATCATTATTGAACCGCAGGTTTTAAAATAATCCAATATAACATGAACTTGATAATACATTCTCACCTTGCTGTCTATAGGGGGATAGGACAAGGAGGGATGGTTTAAACTAAACAGGAGAGATTTAAGTTAATCAGGAAGAAATTCTACCCTGTGAGGGTGGAGAGGCCCTGGCACAGGTCATCCAGAGAAGCTGTGGCTACCCCTGGATCCCTGGAAGTGTCCAAGGCCAGGCTGGACAGGGTTGGAGCAACCTGAGATAGGGGAAGGTGTCCCTGATCATGGCAGGGGGTGGAACAAGATGAGCTTTAAATCCCTTCCAACCCAAACCATTCTGTGACTCTTTTTATGCAAGATCTACTTTAGCTTTTTGATTCACTCTAAAAGTTTTACACTGGATAAAAGTTACACCAAATGCAGAAACAGTAGAAATGCAGAATAAAGAAGGCAGCTTTTCCTTTGAAACCACAGAAGATCCTCAATACCTAGTAAATTATCAGTCACCTTAATGTTTAGCAGCAGCTGAAAACATTTAATAAGACACATTGCAAACCTCACAGCAGGCAAATGCAATAATTTCTGATGTAGGCACAGCTACTTGACAGCACAGCAGAGGCTGCTTAACTTCACAATTACAGAAAAAAAGAGACAGTGCAGCTTTGCTGTTACCCACAGGCAAAGAGACTCAGTCAATAAAACCAATCCCTGTCCCCCAGGAGCAATTCTGCTAAAGAGTCATCCAGCTCCTGCTATTTAAAAATCTCAGCTGGTAGGAGAACTGCCAGAATTAACAATCAATGTTCTAAATCAAGCACAGGATCGCCAACACAGTAATGATTTTTACCACAGAGAATTAAAAATAAATATTCCCCTTGCAGCCCTGAGGCAGGTTTGGGTGGTGGGTGAAAGGGAGGAGAGCCCAAAACCAGGATGACCAGGAAAATATTTCATCAAATCCCAGAATGATTTGGGTTGGAAGGGATCTTAAAGCCCATCTCGTTCCACCTGCTATGGGCAGGGGCACCTTCCGCTATCAAAGGTTGCTCCAAGCCCCATCCAACCTGGATGGAGATGCAAAATCCAGAGGCACCAGGAAGCCAAAGGTGAGATGGACATGTAACTCTTCCAGTAAGTCAACCCACTACTCCTTAACTGTCTGCAGGGAATTTCTTATATTTCAGTTCATATTTAATACTTATAAAACTTTCAGAGTCTTTCTGCATAGATTTGGTTGGAAGGGACCTTAAAGCTCATCTTGTTCTACCCCCCCTGCCATGGGCAGGGACACCTTCCACTAGCCCAGGTTGCTCCAAGCCCCATCCAACCTGGCCTTGGACACTTCCAGGGATGGGGCAGCCACAGCTTCTCTGGGTGACCCGTAAATTATAACCTCCCCAATGCACACAGTGCTTTGCTGTGACTTTGCAGGGCTGTTGGGGCATTTTAGGGAAATGCAGGGTGAAAAGCTGGTGATGGGTCTGTGTGTTCCCTTCTCCTCACGTGCCTCGCGCTCCCCCAGCCGAGGTTGGGTGAGTTCAGCCGTGCAGGGATGTGCAGCCCCTCCCGGGGGCACTACGGGGAGCTCTCGCCTTCCTTGGCCTCAGCTCCCCCCTGCTCCATCTCCATCAGCAGCATCTGCCACGCTGACACCCTGGCAGGAGGCAGAAAGGGGGGTGGCACAGGGCTGAGAGGATCATTTTGAGCTTAAGAAGGGAAATCCCATCCTTAGTTTGAAGTAAAACATTCAGACAGAGAATCTCAAGGCAGCCTTGTTAGCCGTTTACGATTTCAACTCCTATTTAAATTAGATTTTTTTAGTGTTGTGATGACTTTGATCTGTAGTTCACATCAAAGCAGGGGAGTTCCTGTTATCCAGCGACTTTCCAGAGCCACATGTCCCCCCCACCTCACAGCTGCAAATATCTGCCCACAAACAGGAGACCTCCAGGCTGATTTTTAACAGAGCCTCATGCTTCAAACAGGCACACAAAAGCAGGATTTATTTTGTTTTTCGGCTCTTTCATAGGTATTAGTGCTTCAGTGCAACAGAAATTCCCAGGCAGTGGTAAACCACTGCTTTCCAAAGCAGGAATTCTTGTTCCTCCAGTGCTACAACTTTATTTCTCTGTGAGGGCTGCTCTGAGTGTGAGTGTGCTGTGAGATGGATGCTGGCTGGGCCCAACAGTGACAGCTGAACGCTGAAACTGTGTGAAAATTTTTGCAGCCAAAGCAAAACTGGCAAATGTTTGGCTTTTTGCCACTGCAGCACCCAACTGTTTCACTGCAATGTTTAAAGCTCTCACAGGCAGGGCTCTGTCAACACTGCAGAGCAGGTAACACCCCTGACTTTGCTGACCTCAAGTCTTAGAAACCTTCTTTTATTTCTAATTTTTTTCCCCCCATTCTGCCCTCATCACTCTTTTAGGCAAATGCATAAGAGGGATGAAAAATCCCCCTGTTTTGATTCCTTTGATAGAGCACAGCTGCACCAAGTGTTGTGTGCTTTCATCTTGAAACTTTATTTTTTGAGATAAATAGTGAGAAGTCACCTCTTCTATCTTCCCATCTCCTCTTCAAAATGCTTTTTTATCTCCACGAGCACCTCTGGTATCACAGGACAGATACCACACATGGCAGTGAAAATCATAATATGAAGGAAAATGAGTCTTTTTTTTTTTCCTTTTTAAAGGAAAAAAACCCCAGCTCTCCTGGTTGAAGAGGAGAAGAAGGTGCTGACCAGTTTTGCACAGTGCACTTCTCCTGGGACACGTGCTCCAAGCGTGGTTTTGCACTGTGACATCTGTCCCAAGGTCACATTCATCTGCTCACTGTCCCCTGAGGGAACAGGAAGGGAGATCCCTCACTTCTGTGCAGTTCTATAGTTGTGTGTCTTTATGTGGATATTAAATACTAATTAAACCAGGCATGGGGATGGTCCTGGCTGTAAATCAACACTAATAAACCCCCTTGTTGGGATGTTGTGTCAGGGCAAGGTGATGGCCTGGGTCGTGCATAGGTGAGGGGACAGGCACACCTGCCCAAGGTGTGGCTTTGCCCTTTGCTCTTGGCAGGAATCAAAGGTCTATAAACAGCCAGAAACAGGATTTTCCTAACGTTTCTACAAATTAATAACTTGTTGATATTAGGCTCCTGTGCTGCCACAGAAGTATAGAATTGTTTAGGTTGGAAAAGCCCTCTAACCATTCCCCCAGCCCTGCCAAGGCCGCCACTAACCCATGTCCCCAAGTGCCACATCCACATGGCTTTTAAATCCTTCCAGGAATGGAGAATCCACCACTGTCTTCTGTGGACTTTGTCCACAAGTGCTCACACTCCTGCCCATGAACAGGAGCCTCCCTGAGTCCCTGTGGTCACCTGGGCAGCTCCACAGAGACCTGCAGGAGAAGATCCTTAAGAAGAGAAAGGACAAAATGAAGCACCAACATCTTAGTGACCATTTCTCATGATCCCAAGGATATTTCTGCCCCTTGAGATCTCAAAGGGTGAAGCAGAAGGCAGCTAAAACCAAAGTAGACCATTGTGTCTTCAAACCAATTTGTTAATTGAACTGCACACACAGTTCAGTTTGAATGGAAATTAGTTGTCCACATTAAATAGTCATTTTCCTTTGCACCCTCTGTTCTGTGGTGTCCTTAAAACAGAATGACGTCTTTTGGTGCATTTTCAATGGGTCTTTCCTGCTCTTTCTTCTTAGAATACCTTGCATGTTCATAGAAATATATGATGATGAGAGAAGCAATGTTCAGGAAAAGGACGAGTAGCATGATCCAGTAGGAATATCCATAACTGTGCTGAGATCTGATGTGGCTCTGCAGAGAGGTGGAACATCCATGGGCCAGTTCTTCAGACAGGCCATGTGCTTCTATGTTCACAGGGAAAAGTATCATGGCTATAAGCACGAGGATTCCTAGAAAATAGAAATACAAATATTAGAGGTGAAACCATAGTGATATTTAAGTAGCTGTTTGTAAAGATTCTACTTAAATTGGTTAAATACCTGCACTAGGACAAAATATTTTTCCATTAGTAAATTATAAGGGCATTTATAGAATTTTTGTCCCACCTAATAATATCTGCCAGGTGTTTTGAAATAGGCAACGATACCATCTTTTAAAATTACTGGATTCTCATTGACTATTCTTAGACAAGGCCATTAAATTTAACTTTTTTTTCACTGAATTTAATGCTGATGAGTATAATGTGTTCATAGATTGTCTATCTGATATAACCCCAAATCCATGGGGTGGGCAGTATCACAGCTGGATAAACCCTGGTCTGGGTTCAGGGTTGGCCCAGCTTTGCTCAAGAGCTTAAATTTAGAGACCCCATGTTCTCTCCAAGTCAAATTATTTGATGACTCTGTTAGGAGCCAAAATTCAAGGTCTTCTTATGTCTCTGTCTATTTCTTACAGCCTTCCAAGTGTTAAAGGAGTTCAGTTACTTTGACATTTAGCTAAATAATATTTTTACATCCCTGCTTTCACTGTGCTCTGAACATTGGTGGAAATAGTTCCATTCCTTTTCTCCAGGTACATCATCCTACACAAGTTCAGGCTGAAACAGGTCCAGTTTTTTTTTTCAGAAGGACTTTCAGGCCATCTGGTAAGAGAATTAGGAACCTCCAAGATAACCTCCCACATCAAATGATGTGTGATTGTTCATAAAAATACACCCACAGCAAAATAGGCTTCCAGGTCACAGCACTCACAGGGCTGTACAAAGGAACCACAACCCTCAGCCAGCATGGGGGTTTATTTTCTCACCATTATTTATTTTTGCAAGTCCATGGTCCTTTCATTTCAGGTCACAGCTTGCAAGTTCAGGGTGCTCAGGAAAGGAACAACCTCTTCATGTGACAAGACAATAATCTGCTTGTCTCAACAGTGAGTAATTGTCTGATTTAGGCATTTATTCCCTTTTCTTACTGCATTTCACTGCTGTTTCTGCATCTATCTTTACGTGATGTGTTAAAAAAGAGGGGAGTTTCATACCCCCACCCGTAGTTGCTATGATTAAAACTAAATTTATCCATACAATTCCCTTTCCACCAAGGTCTGATTTTGATGATGGTGCTGCTGGGGACACACCTCCCTCCCATCTGCAGACCTGAAGAGCTTTTGAAGGGTAAAATGCTCTTGTTGAAGTACCCTGTAATCAGATGTCTTAAAAGGAAATTATTCAAGTGCAAACCTATTATTGGAGGAACACATAATCCTCTTGAGACAAATTGAGTGTGAGAGCTGGAATCATTGCCAGCACATGACCAGGAGGGCAGGAGGGTGTGCTGGGAGCAGCCAACCAGGTGAACATGGGGCTGCACCTTCAGGGAGCCCTTTGTCAGGGTTCAGGCTCTAATGACTCAGTGTCTCTACCTTTTTTTTTTTATGCTTAGGGAATGTTAAAACTTAACTTTGATCTGCAAAAGTGTTTTTTAGAGAGGGAAATAAAGTTTGCCGTGGCTCAGTCCTTCTAACTGCTGCTCCCCATATATACCATTACATAAATTCAATATTACTACTATATGATACAATTTTACTGGTACTTAAAAGGTAGTTTTCAGGTGTCCCAGAAGACATGTGTAAAACTGAACCTACTGAACAAAATGCTTTTCCAAGTGTTTCCTTTTCCAGATATATATTTCTTAATCTTGGAATCAAGGTATTCATCCAAAGGTGGGTAGGAAGTGGGATGGGATGGGATAGGATGGGATGTGTTACTCACCACATATGGAATTCCAGGTGTAGACTCCAATGGGTCCCAGAAATGTCTGGTAGGGGTTGCTGACAGCATTGGTGCAGGTGAATCCAGAGCTCAGAAGGGAAGTCAGTAAACTGAGAACCAGAATCACAATAATGGCAACGTTGGTGCTTCTTGTCTTGGTGCTGCTCAGGGAATCTGCAACTGAAACACGGGGGCTCAGCATGGAGAAGGGACAGAAGAGCACACAGCCTCAACTTGTGTCAGGGGATGTTTAGATTGAATATTAGGGAAAATTTATTCACTGGAAAGGGTGGTCAGGCACTGGAAAAGGCTGCCAGGACAGTGGTGGAGTCCCCATCCCTGGAAGTGTTCAAAAGACACGTGGATGTGGCACCTGGAGACACGGGTTATTAGTGCTGGGTTAAAGGTTGGGATTAATGTTCTTAGAGGTGTTCTTCAGTCTTAATGATTTTATGATAATCAGCCTTCCCCTCATGGTCTGGTGGACTCTGACAAGTCTATGACTTACTGATCTGGCTGTAATTAAAAGCTGATAAACAGAGACTTGATTGATCTGTAGAGATCAGGATGCAAAGGAACACAGCAAGACACAGCACATGAACCCAAAGCCCACATGGGGTGAAGGTACACAGGGCAGAAAAAAGTGCATGTCTGCTACTCCTGTAGGCACAAAAACCTCCTGGGCATTGGCTGGATAGGAAACTTCTCTTCCTTAATACTTCTGTAAAAATTTCCTCTTGACGTGGCCAGACAGAAATTTTATGCTTAGCTGGACCAGAATACCAGGTGTTCCTCTGCCCACGCCTGGTAAATTCCATAATTATTTAAAACTGTTCCAACTGCAGGTTATTCTCTCTTAGTAGGGCATCAGTTTCCCTCCCATGGAATAAATTTGACAAGAGGAACAGCTTCTAAGGGAATAAAACTCTCTCAGGAAGGGCCAGGTGGATTTGCAGGAATAATATAGCTAAGCATGGTCATACATGGACAGGTGAGGAGGGTTGAGCTCACACCCTGAGTGGATCTGTCTCTGTGTCCTGCAAAAAAAAAAAAAAATGGTGGAGGCAGGCCTTGCTCCCTTCTTTTAAAAGAAAGGAGCAACTCCTACTTTGGAGATGTTTTTGGATGCCCTGAGACTCCTGACCCCGCAGTTCATCATCAGATCTGCTGCATCATCCATCCTTTACTGCAGTTTCATTGTGGTGATGTTCCTTTTCCCACTTCCCACTGCTCTTCCACCCCTAAATCCACTGAATTTTAAAATTAATTTCTTGTGTATGTAGTTTTTTGGGACGAGCTGGGGCATCGTGTTCGGGGTGAAAATCCCTTCCTGCTGCTCCCACCCTGAGCTGAGCAGTTCCTCAACTACTCAGGGTGAGTAACTCTTAAAACACAATTCCTTAGATTTTGCTTGGCTTGGGCTTTTAAATTAAGAGCCTTGCCCACAGGCACTGTTTCTGTACAGGAGGGAAGATGGGAAAAATAAAAATACAAATCTGGGGTATATTTTTTTATTAATTCAATGTGATGAAGATTTCAGTGCAAGCTCAAACACCCCGTGTGCATTATATCTCTAAGCCTACATTGGCTTAAAATAATAACTACAGCAGCCAGGCTTGTTTAAAATTAAGAATAGGAAGCACATTTGCTGGCCACTGATCCTGCAGCTTGTGTGGAGCTTGTGCCTGGTGTCCAGGGAACGACTGGACGTGGCCCTCAGTGCCCTGGGCTGGGTGACAAGGTGGGGATCAGGCACAGGGTGGACTCCATGGGCTGGGAGGGCTTTTCCAACCCCAGGGATTCTGTGGCTGGGTATATGGAGTGTTGTGGCTCCCACAGGGCTGGGCTTTGGGGTCACATGGTGGCCCTGGAGCTTCTTTTCTCAAGGTCTCCAGCCAAATGCCAAGGAATCAGATCCTGGCCCCTCTCCTTTTGGCTCCAGATCATTACAGTTCATACACACAGGCCATTGCCCTCTCTAGTTTCTGGAGCTGCAGGAGTGTCTGGCCATATGTTCACGGCACATGTTCAACCCCTCCAGGACTGCCATCAATTTTATTGATTTTTTGCCTCAATCCTTCCAGTCATTCCATAGGTTGCTGATAATAAGAGACACAATATCCTCGAAGTGTAATTGCAGTATAGCCGTGTTGAGATATATTATTTTCCTCTTTTCAATTTAAAGATTGAAAAAGCAACTGCAATTTGCCTGTGGCTGCCTGATGTTGTAACAAATACAATGACAATGTTTTCCAGCTCTATTCAAATGGGTGTTGTGATAGACAGATGTGTAGGAAAATTCCCCTTCTATTCTGCTTTTAACACAAAGCCATTACTGCAAAGTGTTCAGGTAGTGCCTAAATGGGAAAAATCATAGCAGGAAAAAAAGTACTAAAAACCCCATAAAGAGAAATAAACATCATAAAAAGAAGAGCTATTGGGAAGAAATGAAAAGGAGAACTTCTCTTTCATTTTGTGTAATACTGCAGGTAGAAGTTAATGTCTGTTTGAGGCAAGGATGTGTTATGGAAATCAGTTGTAAATGTAAGCAATTTTCCTAGAAGAACAGGAAAGAAGGGCTTCCAGGGGCTATCACTCAATTAAATGGAAGTGAGCTGCTGTTTGTACCTGCACTCAGGCTGAAGCAGCCTGGGCATCACCTCTGATGTATTTCTTGCACAAGATGTAAGTCTGGAGCCAAACCAGCCAGGCTTGTGTAATTTCCTTCTGGCAGCCTCGCTTAATTTTATCACTCAGAACATCTCCAAGATTGACTGGCTACACCTATTGCAACCCCTAATTGATCTTGTTTATCTCTGACAGTGATCAGCAGTTTAGGGGATGTCATTTTATGCTGTTGTAACAGCACAAGGCTAAAGGGTTTAAAGAAAATGTTGTTTTCATGGCAGCAGATTTTTTTTTGCCCTAAATAAAGCAGTCTGTGCAAACTGAAGGAGCTGATCTGTTTGAGTGGGGTCAATAGTAACCTGCAGCATCTGTGTAAAATAACCTCATTCTACAATGGAAACAGAGGGGTTTGTCCTGCCCAGATCTCTCCTTATTTTCCTGTATCTTCTTCCTTTTTTTTTTTTTTTTTAAATCATCCTTAATTCTTATATATTTGGATAGAATTTCCCAAACTTCTACTGACCTAAGTCAGCCTTCCAAGCAGTGCTGATCTGGCAGCTTTTGTGAGCTCTCTGATCACTTATGGCACATAACGAATTTTTCATTAAAAAAAAAAAGAACCAAACAACCAAAAAACCCCAAGCAGAGTTCAGCTGAGCTTCCCAGTTTTCAGGAGATCCCATAGCACACCGGGAAACTGATTTTCAGGCATTTGTCATGTCATTTAAAAGTGAGAAAGTGAATTGATTCTTCTCTGCTCATAGAAAATTTCAAAGGCTTCCTCATGTGTTGTTGGCCTTGCTGGCTGCAAACAGTTGGATAAATCCTGATGTTCCAGGACTCTTCTGGGTGTGCCTTTTCCTGGGCCTTGCTCAACTTCTACATGGACACAAGCAGAGCAGTAAACAAGCTCTTACAGGCTGTTACATTCATAGGTGGTTCCTTGCTAAGAGAAATCATTAAAACAGCTCATGAAGACTGTAAGGACTTTGGTTATTAAATAACTTTTACATTCTGCCGGACCATTCATCCCCAGAGCCTGGGAAGTGGCTGTTTTGATTTATTGCTCTATTAAGGTTGTTCCTGGCAGTCTGTTAAAGAGACACCCTGACTTGGGCAGGTCATGCACAGCCACGGTGCAGAAACCATGTTTGTCTTTCATCTTTATGCTCAGAAATTTCTTTTAATGCTGTGCTTTTTACAGGAATAAGTTAAGTTTTTTGTAAAGGCTGTTGATGACCTTTTGAATGGCCATTAATAAAAACCGACCTGGGCTATTGCTAACAAATATTTCATATCCCCAGGCTATCACCTTTGATTTGCTCTTCTAGAATTTCCATCCTCCTTTTCTCACACCCAGATATGACAATGCCATTTGAGAAACACACATGGGGTGCACAGCAGGGCCCCCCAGCAAGGACACAGTTGCTGAGTGATAGGTCACACTGTGAGTTAAAAGGATGTTTTTAACTCCTCTTAGTGGTGTCTGAAACATTGGAGTGGAGAAAGCACATCACTTTATTTCTTCATAAAACAGGAAATCAATTTACTGAAGAATCAGCAAAGAAAAGACATTTACTGTCTTAGGAGGACCTGTCTATATGAAGTTAAAATATTATATATAAAATATTAATATATAAGTTTCCTATTTCAAGTATGTATGGAATAGGATCATAAAATAGAATGGTTTGGATTGAAAGGGACACTAAAGACCATCTCATTCCATCCCCTGCCATGGGCAGGGACACCTTCCACTAGCCCAGGTTGCTCCAAGCCCTGTCCAACCTGGCCTTGGACACTTCCAGGGATGGGGCAGCCACAGCTTCTCTGGGCAACCTGGGCCAGGACTAAGAATTTCTTCCATAAATGACAATATAAAACATGACAATAATGCCTAGCATAGAGCCTAAGAACTAATTTAAAATCAGTTCATCTCCCCTTGGATATGTGCCCAACTGAACTAGGGAGGGATGTGGGCAAACCCATCTTTAGACTGTTCTTAAAGCATCACTTTCCTTCAGCAGCTGTGGGAAAACAACTCCTGAAACTCACTTGTTTTGTTCATCCCTAAACAACCGATATGTGAGAATTGAGATAACTTCCTCTAAATGTTTATCTGATAAATGATAATCACAAAGCCCTGAATCTGGTGGGGGAAAACCCAAAACCACTGAGATGCATGTAAATGGTGCAAGAACCAAACCCCTTCACTGATACAAGTGTTGGGTGAGTCCTTTTCATTGATTTTGATCAAAATTGACCTGTTGGTAACACCCAGGCCCTGGGACTGGGCTGTGTGAGCCCTTGTACAGACAAAGGGAAGACACATGCCCTGAATTCCAGCCAACCTCTGTCCCCACCCTGCAATCAGCTCCTGCTGGGAGGACTCCAGGTTTCACAGGGAGCCCAGTTAAAATCAGCAGGAGCCTGCCCACATGGCACAAGGTTTGGGGCTTGAGCCAACTGCCATAGGGTGCTAGAACCACATAGAAACCATTTTTATTAATGCATATTTACTCTTCTAAAAATACTGCGATTGTTCTGATATGACTGTAAGTAAACCAGGTTTAAATGCCTGGTTTGTGTGGGTTTGTGTTTGTTACAGGACAATCTCAATTCACACTCCATGTTTTGCTGGGAGTGCTACTGTGTCCAGGTTTTCATGGCAATCTAAATGTTCTCATGACAACATGAATGTTCTCAAGAGAACTGGCTTGTGTAACACAGCTTTGCCACCGTGGGAATTGGGGTGCCTGTTTGTACAGGGACAGTTTCTGTGATAAATTAAGCTGGGAAAGATCTGGGAGATGGGAACCAGATCTGCTGTGCTCTGCCTTGGGTGGCTTCTCTGGGACATCTCACAGCAGCCTACCAAAAAAGGAAAATATTTCTTGAAGTATCTTAGAATCCCAGACTGGTTTCAGTTGAAAGGGACCTTAAAGTCCATCCAGTTCCACCCCCTGCCATGGGCAGGGACACCTTCCACTAGCCCAGGTTGCTCCAAGCCCTGTCCACCCTGGCCTTGGACACTTGCAGGGATGGGGCAGCCACAGCTTCTCTGGGCAACCTGTGCCAGTGTTTTACGACTAAAACTGTAAAAGAAAATATTCCTTTACCACTTTAATTGTAAAAAAATTCTTCCTTTTATCTATTTTAATTCTATATCTCATGTTTTTAAAACTGTTTGACCTACTCTTCCGATTTTTGTTAGGTTTCTTCTGACTGGCTTTTTTCCCCTTTCACGTGTCATCAGCATTATTGCTTTGAACGTGGTGTGACAGCAAGACAGATAAAATGAGTGTAAACCCTTGATCCTTGCAACAGCTTTCAGGCTTATCTACCTTTGGGTGTTGTTTTACATGTTTTGTTCTTTTTCTTTCAGGAGTCTTAAAACCTTTTTCTATAAAATGATGCTAATTTGGTAGCCGGTGGAAAATGTTTTAAATCAAACAATAAGTTTAACATAATGAAATTAAAGGAAATCCTGGAAGATGAATTAGGTTTGTAAATCCCTTAATAAAGTGGTAAGTGTTGCTTTTCTGTTCCTCACTGAAAACTTCTGCAAATGAAAGTCAATTTTACATAAAGTTCCCATTTTTTATTTTTCCTTCATTCCAAAGGGAACGAGGTAATTATACAGGTGATTAAAATAAGTTGTTATTGTCAAGAATGCTGCAGAATTTCTGTGCTTTTTGAGGGTCTTATATTATACTAGTTAAATCCCCAGACTGTTCTACAGTTGTTCTTGGTCTCACTTAAAGTATTATAGTTATAGATGAACACAAGAGCTGTGGGTCCTATGCCTGACACTGATATGAGCAAGAAGATTTTAGGTTTACATTAGATATTGGGAAGAAATCCTTCCTTGTGAGGGTGCTGAAGCCCTGGCACAGGTTGCCCAGAGAAGCTGTGGCTGCCCCATCCCTGCAAGTGTCCAAGGCCAGGTTGGACAGGGCTTGGAGCAATCTGGGCTAGTGGAAGGTGTCCCTGCCCAGGGCAGGGGGTGGAACTGGATGAGCTTTAAGGTCCCTTCCAGTCCAACCATTCTGTGACTCTCAGACCCATTTCCAGGTGTAACACCACTCACCTTGGAAGGTCTGTTTTGACACCTGAAGTCCTGCTTCAACAAACTGTTCACAGGTGCCCCTGAAGAGTCCGTAGTCGAGGCTGATGGTGATGCTGGTGTTGGTGCGAGAGAAGAGAACGTCGCTGCTCACCCACTGCTGCGTCCCCAGCACCACACAAATCAGCACGAAGGAGGAAACACAGGTACAAAAAGCAGATGCAAACATGGTTGTTTTCTTCCTGGAAGGCATCTTGGCAGAGATTTTCCCACCACTTCAGGATATTTTGTTCCCTTTAGTCCAGCTACCATGGGGTTGTTTCCTCCTCCTTGCTGTCCGGGCTCTGTCGTCACAGAGAGTTACCCTGGTAAACTTTAAGTGAACAGCAGTGGTAATAAAAGTGTAAAATAATTGAACTTTGGTCTGGGGAAAAGGTGTTGCCATAGTTACAACACCACCAGCCTGGCAAAGGCTGGTAGAGATCACTGTCAGATTATTTATGATCCTTGACAAACCAGCACTTCCCAGATCGTGGCTCTGGGCTCATCCAGAGTCTTGACGTGTTCCCAGCTCACCTCGTGCCTTCTGGGAGAGTTCTGAGGTTTTTCTCTTTAAAATCCTGATAAACAGGTTGGAAAAGATGTTTTTCTAAATCTGTATCTAATGTGTTATGGTAAAAAGTATTAAATGTTCCTTCTTTGTTCAGATTCCCAGTTTGCTGCGATCAGACCAACTCTCCCTTTTGTGACACCTCCTAAATTCTTTAAATTTGTGAAAACACTGGGTTGGTCTTGGGTTTTGGTGGGGTAATGACATTCTATCTCCTGTCAATAGATTATTTTCTAAGAAATAGCCTTTTTCCTCATTAAATTGCACATATTTTCTCACAATAACTCCTTCCCCCCTTTTTTTTTTACCTTCTTTTTGTCAAGGAGGAAACCAATACCTTGAACAGGGATTCATTTCAATGAAGTAGTGGATATGAAAAGGGAGCAATCCTGAAGAAAATCTGTTCTGGACTATAAAGCAATTTCTTCAGCCCAAGTTGAATTAAACAAAAAAAAAAAAGACAGTAAGAAAATGTTATCAAACAGAACCTACGTTGCTTAATTAAAAGACTGAAGCCAAATTTCTAGAATTTGAGGTGAACTCAGCACCAGGGTCCCCATTTTTTTGGGAGGAAACCTGAAATATAAATTAATAATCTATTGTCAGGCTAACAGAGAATCAAATAGATTTTATTTCTATTAGTTATAATGTCCTTATTCCACATTATACTAAACCTGGGCTCCTGGATGATCCAGAGTTTTTTAATTAACCTTTAGGGGGAAACTAAATAAACCTGTGGAGGTCTTGTCCTGAAGCTTCACTGGTTTGCATTTTAATGACAGAGAGAGATTTTTGAATTTTTTATGAATTTGAGATGGCAAAGAATTTCTTGGGAGGAGAAAATCCCCGTTGTGCAGTGCAGTGTTATTGTACTGTGATTCTTCTGATTTTATGACTTCTTGACCCAAAACTTTAAAGCGCTAATTAGATTTGAAATCAATGTATTTTATTTCTGCTCTTTATATAATATGGTCTTGTGATTACTTTTTTCAAATTATATGGGATTTAATAATACTTTTGAGGCAATTGTTTTAAAGAATACGTAAATACAAATTTTAAAGAATATATAAATTTTATTCTAAATAATCTATATTCCTAAATAATCTATAATTTCTATTCCTAAAAATCTATATAAACCATATATTTAGGAATTTTATTCCTAAATAATCTATATCTATGTAGCAGAAATCAGTCAGAATTTGGTTTAAGCTCTGAGGAGTAAAGGGAGGTTTCTCAACCTGTCTAAAGAAATAAGAAACAAGAGGCCTACCCCCATTTCTGACCAGTATTCCAGTTAAACTTTAACCATCACAAAATGGGAAAACTTTGTTAGGCTGATCCACCTCTACAGGTTCATTAATCCAACACTTCTATTGGTCCTTTATTTGCATACAAAGAGCATAGTCCAAGAACTTACAGTCCAAGGATATTTTTTAATAAACTGAGGTAAAACCTGTCCCCTATGAAATATATTTTAAAAAAATATATATATTTAGGAACTGATATTTATCTTGGTAATAACTTCAAGGGAATTACTTTTCAGCTCCTGCTTGGTGGTTTTCTTTTTCAGTTTCAACAAACTGAGTAGCCACACCTTTAAAAATACCCAATAACAGAGACTAAGAGCAGTGAGGAGCCTGTAGATCCTTTCTGAGCAATCTGACTAAATTATATTTAGTTTTTGGTGACTCAGCTCAAATTGTTATGCCTCAAATCACTGAAACTCTCCTGTGGCTCAGAGAATTGCTCTGTAAATGAGACCATAATTTGCCTTTTTCTTGCCTGTCACCTTGAAGTTTATCTGTTCTCTGCTGAAGCTACAATTCCTTGTGTCTTCTTTTTTTCCCCTCACGGTTACCTGAAAAAACATCACATAACTTGGAATGAAAATTGATGTTTGACACAGCAACCTCATCACTTGAGAGAAGGGAGAGACTGGGTTCCTCTGACTCAGAGAAAATATTTCCTGATCAGCACCTAACAGACTCTGCCCCCACTGAACTGACTCAGCCCTGCACAGGAGTCAGACAGAAAAATCAGATTAATTGGTTATGAATCAGATGGGCAGCACAGGGAGCTGGAATCCTTTGCTATATAAAATTACTCATTGCCCTGTATTTTGAAAGGTAAAATAGGTATTTCCCTTCTGTTTATGTACAAGTCAGTTTGCTTTAAGCAATATAAATATAACATGAAAGCCTTTAATGAAAGCAAACCTTTCATATCCATCTATTTTTTAATGTGACAGACACATTCTTACATTTAAAAAAAATAAATTACATGGTGGTTTGTGGCTTTGCCCACAGCTCCTGAGGGATCAGAGGGGGAGAAATCCTTCCCTGTGAGGGTGGTGAGGCCCTGGCACAGGTTGCCCAGAGAAGCTGTGGCTGCCCCATCCCTGGAAGTGTCCAAGGCCAGGTTGGAACTGGTCTAGGGGAAGGTGTCCCTTCCTATGGCAGGGGGTGGAACTGGATGATCTGTAAGGTGCCTTCCAACCCAAACCATTCCTGGATTCCAGGATGCTGCTTCCCAAGGGATGCTGACTCTGACAGGCAGGATGTGAGTGCTGGCTCACAGGTAACTGCTCTCAGCAGCAGCCAGGGAAATTCAAGGTGAAGCCACTGCAAATTATCTTCTGTTCTGCTGCAACCACAACATTTGTGACGGTTGCTGGTGGTTTAAATTTTCCATGTTCAGTTTAAATACTTAATTTAAAAACAATTGGCAGGTGGCAGGATGACTTGGCAGTGTGGCTGGGAGGAGGTTTTGCTGATATTTGTTATTTTCCTTGGGCGTGACCCTTGTGGCACAACTTCGTGTACCCACGAAGACTTTACACCCTTTTTATTTTCCATTTTCCATGTCTACTTGCAGAGGAGCTCAGCTGCTTCATCCTTCAGCTGCTCTTGGTACCCAGAAGAGTTGATGAAGCTCCATGCAAGGCAGAGGATGTGCAGGATCAGCCCATGGATTGCATTTATGTATTCCAGGATCAGGCCGTGCATTACCAACGTTGCTTTTACCTCTTCTATGGTGGATAAATGATAATTAAACCAAACCATTGAATACTAAGAATGAGATTGATTTCTTTCTCTGGTAGTTTGCAGCCAGAATTCTGGGAGCTGCTGGAAACAGGGGTTTGTTTATGCTTTTTGGGCTGGGTGAGGGAAACAGGATAAAGCACCATGAATTTTATTGTAGCTGGAGTTGAAAAATTGGAAGCTCAACTGACCTGTAAAATTATTGCAACGACTGTTTGGAAAACTGAGAGGGATGTGATCATGATTTTTGTGGATCCCTGCCCGGAGCTGCTCTGAGGTGGGTTTGTACAACTCCATCTTTTGATTTCGTTCTTCTCTTGCTCTGACCTTTTTTTTTCAGCACTTTTGAAAGACAAAGCAAACAGGCTGGAAGTGTTGTTTGGATTTCTTCCCAGAAAATGACTCGAATGTCTCAGCTGAGAACTCCATCACGAGATCTTATTGATCTCTGAGCTCTGATGCTGCAGCATTGGTTGGTGTGGGAGGGACAGCTGGAATATTGTGCTGCCACCTTGGAGCAGGGTCCTTTCACACCTGCAGTCAGCAGGAACAGGCACTGCTGGTTTCCTTATTGACAGAAAAAAAGGTGGAAGATCCCAAAGACACCCCACTGGGATCAAGGCAAACACAAAAAGCAGAATCCTGTTTGAAAATGGTGCTGCAAGAGCAGCCCTCAGTTCACAGCCTGGCAGAGCCTGCTGGGGCTGCTCCGGGTTCCTTGGACAAGGGATGGAGGGACAGGACAAGGGGCAATGGCTTCCCAGTGCCAGAGGGCAGGGCTAGATGGGATATTGGGAAGAAATTCTTGGCTGTGAGGGTGGGGAGGCCCTGGCACAGGTTTCCCAGAGAAGCTGTGGCTGCCCCATCCCTGGAGGTGTCCAAGGCCAGGTTGGAGCTGAGCTCCACTAAAGCCTCTAAGATGTCCCAAGTATCATTTTTGTTTTTTTTATTCCAAAAGATGATTGCACAACTATAAAATAATGTGTTTAGGTGTTAAAATGCTGCTTTCCTTTATGACTAAGTACAAGTTGAGTAGTCAAGTACGGTTTATTGAACAGTGGGGGAAAAAATCCTCCTGGCATTGTAAGATTCAGAAATTATGGCCTTTGCAATATTCTTACTTTAATAAAATGTGGCTTTGAAGCTGCTTCAAGATTTGTAGTATTTAAAACAAAGCCTTGAGGTGGAGATGGAGAGAAGAGCAGGCAGGGCAGGCTTTCCTTTATTGCAATTTCTGTAACAATTATAAAGATATGTAGTTTTGAATTCTTAAATCTATTCCTCTGTACTCATAATTTTAGATTCCAAATGTAAAAACCTTAGACAAATAGCCCTTTGAAGTCACTAAATTAGCTACTGCTGGGATGTTACACAGCCTCGTGCTTTTGCCCAATTATCCACACTTTAAAGAGTTTTTCTTGTATTTTTAGACCAAGATATATTTGCAATTACAGAAATCACATCTGTGTCTGTTATTTGCTGTCCTGCCCCTGATTTTCTGACTTTTTCAGCACATTTCCAATTTGTGTTCCAGTATATCAATAAAAGACAGACTTACCATGTTGCTACCATGTTGGAATACCCAGGTTAAAATTTTGTTGTTCAAATATTGCCTCTTTCCTATCATTTATTTCCTGAGTTCAAAGCGGAGGAGGCACCTCTTTGTAACAGAGAGTAGCAAAGT